TCCAAAGCTGCTTGAGTTGGTTCAGTGATGTCTGGCCAGTGTGGGTCAGCTCCTTTGTGGATGCTTTGGACTGATCCTGCAGCATCATCCAAAACAAGAAGGAAGATGGAAAGGCCTCTTCGTGTCTATCTTTTTGTTTTAGAAGAGGAAAGATCTTTCCAAGTGCACTGTTATGCCTCACTGCAGACTCCATGAGCATGAGACTCTGGGCAGTGCCAGCTCACAAACCTACACTCTAGGTTCAGCTGAGCTGGGAAAATGAGTGTTTGGTGCTTTCACCCTCTCTAATTGGTGACGGGCTCTGCCAGACAGAAGTGGAGGGTCGGGCATGCTTGTGGGCAGACAAACAATCGAGCAGAGCACAGGCATCGCAGAGGAGGCCGGAGATGGTGTCAGGAGACACGCTCAGGTCGGATCACAGAGCGCTTGCTGTGCATTGCTGAAAAGTTTGGAATGTATGTTATAAACTTGAGAAACCAACCTAAGTTTCAGGAGGCGGAGGCTGAGATTTAGAATAATAACTCTAAATTAATTTAAATTAAGTATTTGAAATTACTTAACTTAAAGATTTGAAATTTTAAAGATGTATTTCTAATACATCTTATTCTAGGTACGAATAAATGAAAACTCCCTATGAATAAATAAAAACTGTAATAAATAAATTATTTACCTCATATCTAGAATAAGAACAAGGTAAATTAAGATTTGAAAATGATTGTGGCAGGTCAGTTTAGAGCATGGATTGGGCTGTTTAGTGCATCTGGAGGATTTAAGAGGGAATCGTTAGTTCATCCCCCATCTAGGAACATTTAACCAGGCTGTTTAGAATTAACTAGTATATATCCAATACTTGGCAGAAATAATATGCACTATGCCCAGGTTGGTTTGTTCATTGTGGTTTTTTGTTTTGTGTGTTTTGGTTGTTTTAAATTATGTAGTGAGAGCCTCCTGCCTCTGAAAGTGCTGGGATTACAGGCATGCATCACCACACCCAGCTTTTTTTTCCCCTACTGACTATTTTGTAGCTGAGGGCCTTTATACTGAGTTACATCCCCAGCTGTTTGTTTGTTTGCCTGCTTGTTTGCATGTTCCCTTATTTTGAGAAAGGGTTTTATTAATTCAGGAATTTACTCAAACTGGGCTCAAATTTATGTTCCTCCTGTTATAGGCAGCTGAGTTAGATAAAAAATATAGGCAGTCAGACAGGGCCAGGCCCTCGAAGGAGCCAACATGAAAGATATGTACTTGCTGTGGGCCAAACTTCAAGATAAACACTAAACAAATGCATCCACATACCTCTCTAGGGATGGACATCAGGGATTGACATTCTAAATAGGTAGCAATCACCTTGAAGAGTCCTTGACCCAACCCCTTACAGGAAAAGCCCCGTTCTGTATTCATGCCCGCTTGCTATGTGACTCACTTCCCCATTTGATCCCAATTTAATCAATTTTACCTGAACAATTCTTATTGGCTGACTATAGTTTTGTTCATTTTCCCCTACCTTGGACCTGCCTCACATCATGGTTTTGCTCTATACAGTCCCTAGAAAAGATAGAGTCTTGGGGTAACCCACTTGGGCCCCGCTTCTGTCTCTCTCTTGGACAGAAGCTTTCTTTTCTTTCCCTCAATAAATATATTCTGCTCTTAATCTCCGTTGTTCCTAAAATTCATTCTTCAATTTTAGAGAACACGAACTCGTCCCAGATATCATTCAGGTTGGGAGTTGTTATTATTCTGTATCACACCTGCTTCAGCCTCCCAGAGTGCTGGGATTACAGGTGTGCACCACCTTGTACCACTGGTCTGCCTCCAGCTTTTCTATTAACTAGCTGCAGCACAGAAGGTCTTTTCCCTCCCCTGAGCTGTAGTTTCCCCATCCCTAGAATAAGAACAAGGTCGCTGGACTAAACATTCCCCACACCCCTCCCTCCTCCTGCAGCCAAGAGGGACTCTACATAAAGATGTCTATTTGAGCAGATGCTGTCCACGTGTCCTATACGCAAGGAAGCTGGGCTGGTTGAAGCTGAGCCATTCTCACTCTGCCGCCAGCTGCGTGTGGCCCCTTTTTTTCCCCCACAAACATCTGCACAATCATTTGTATCTATACTTCTAAACACAATGGGCTTTATTATCATTAATGATAATCATTGAAGAATCCCAGGAATTTTGTCGCATACTGGTATCTTATTTCATGTCTTCTGTTTTTGGTTTTTTTTATTTGTTTGTTTGTTTTCCAGTACCGGGAATTGAACTCACAACGGTACCCTTGCCTTATTTCATGTCTTATCAAATCTCTTCTTCCCAATAAATCTCCATTCATCTTTAGAATGTAGATGGAAGGACATGGAATCAGGAATAATTGTGAGTACTTGGTTCAATCTGGTGTGACAATGGGCAAGTTAATTCACCTTTCTGAGTTTTAGAGTTGATTCAGTTGTATTCCTGGTTCTAAACCGTGAAAAAGCCTCAAAATTACGTGGGCCTCTTTTAAAAGGCAGCTCTGAGAATCCATCCAGTCCTGGAAAAGCCACAGGTCTCAGGGTGGGGCCTGCAATGAATATATGGAAAACTGTACCCAGGAGATTTTGGTGGGCCTTTTACAGTCTCTTCATTAACCTTGGGAAGTAGATATTTATTCAGAACTAAACCAAAAGGCCCCAAAATATAAAGAAATAAAATATTTTATTTTCACCCTCAAGGAGTTTAGCAAACAGAAAAAGAGACATTGCCTCCACAGCAAAAGTGCTTTGAAAGAGACAAGGAGTGGTATCCCAAATGAGGTGTTCCTGACACACCCTGCAGGACAGCTTCTCAGAGATGATCAGGATTTAGATGATGACATGAAAAAAAAAAAAAAAAGATAATGACATGGGAAAAGGGAAACCACTAGGAAAGGCCAGGAGTTCTGAACAGCTCTTACAAGTACAGTACAGAGACTGAGCAGAGAGAGGCAAGGCACAGGACGGTGAGGCAGATACAAACTGCAGCTACAACACACAGCTCATCCCCTCTGCCTGAAGTGTCAGCTGTGGAAACCGCAAGCAGGACTGGCTGTTGGTTTAGGGTGAAAAGCCAGGGAAGGATGAGAAGGTATACCAGTAAGAGCTTCTGCTGAAAATATGTGAGCTCCTCTCCAGTATCAGCAACTACCAGGCTAGGAGGGGTGGCCTCTGCTACTCAAGCCAGGGTCTCTCCCCACACCTGACTTCCTCCAGCTGTCCCCTCCGCCTCAGGCTGCCCTTGAGCTTTGAGGAAGTCTTACACCAATTTCCTGTCTCAGGCTGGCCACAGATGCATAGCCCCAATGACATCTTATTGGAAGATACAGTGCTGGTGGGAAAGGGAGTCATCCCTATAACCTGCCTGCGGTCCTTGAAGACAGCCTTTCGTGTGAGCACTTCAGAAGCTAGACTGAAGTGGAGCTGGCTGGTGCTCTTTTCTGAGGAGTAAGCTGCCTTCACAATCCACATTTCTTTTCCCTTCACATGCCTAACTTCAGCAGTTACCTAGCTCTACATGAGTTTCATCCAACTTCCCATGTTGAACGCTGCAGAATCCTGCTACCTCTGTCCCTAATGCTCTGATCGCTGTCCCCATGAGGCACACAGCCCCCTCAGAGTAAAGGCTTGCCCATCATGACTCAAGCTGCCTAGTGCGAAGATTAGAGTTGTTTCTGGTTAGACTAGGGTAGCTTTCTTGTACTGATTTATAGTCTTCCTGTCTGTCCAAAAAGTTAAGAGAAACATTTTTCATGGGAATCCAACATCAATCTTTCTCAGAGCTTCAAGACCCTGAATAGACGCCACTGTTTGTAACGTGGCCAGAATGAAACCTCTCAAGACTGGAGTAAACACAGAGAAATAGAAGTGCTTGCCTGAAGCCTTGGAAGTTTCTAGGATACAAAATTCAGGGGAAACCCACAATGAAGAGGCAACTGAGCCTGCTGAGTCCAGTCCACAGCTCTCAGACTACCCACTCTGAGAGCAGCATGTTTCGTGGTTTTCTGCCTGATTTCCTTGAAGGAAGAGTTTGGTGCCACAGGAATAGATTTTATGAAAGTTCCATAAGATCGGACAGTAATTCTCATCTGAAAGAGATTTTGCCCCCATCCGCAGGAGCTGTTGGCAATGTCTGGAGACACCATTGTTTATCATAATCAGATGTGGGGGGCTACTGGCATCAAGGGTAAAGGTCAGGGATGCCACTAAATATTCTACAATGCCAAGCCTCACACAACAAAGAATGATCTGGCTCAAAATATCAATAAGGCCAAGACTGAAAGTATCCCATAGGCCAGGTTTGGTGGCACACTCCTGTAATCTAAGCACTTTGGAGACTGAGGCAAAAGGAGGGCAAACTCAAAGCCAGTCTGAGTTACATAGCAACTTTAAGGCCAGCCTGGATACAGAGAGAGACCCTGTTTCAAAAAATTCTGGGGCAGACCATGCAGATAAAAATTGTGCTCCTGGCAGAAAGCTGGTGCCCTGGTTCATTGCATTGGTGAAGGCTGACAGTTGCCTGCCTCTCCTAGCCTATCATAGATGGAAGGGACCCCAGAGAGCACTAGCCCAACCCCAGCACTGACAGATAAGGGGAAAACCTGAGGCTCAGAAAGTGAAGTGTTAGCAGACTAGAAGTGGGCCCTGGATCCTTGCTATAAATTGAATGCTTGTGCCTCATCCTTAAATTCACATGCTGAAAGTTAATCCTCAATGTGATGGTAGTCATGTGCTACATAATGACATCTTTGTCTACAATGGACCATATATACAATGGGGGCCCCCTAAGATTATAATGGAGCTGAAATATTCCGATCGCCTGGTACCTGGCAGTTGCTGTAACACAGTGGTGTACTGTACTACTCACGTGTTTGTGATAATGTTGGTGTAAACCACCTGGCTGCCAGTCATATAAAATTATAGCACATGCTATTATGTACAGAGTACTATACTGATGATGATAATAAAAGGCCATATTAGTGGTTTATATATGTTCTATACTATATTTTTATTGTTATTAAAATGTACTCATTCTACTTATAAAAAAACTTTTTCCTGTAAACTCCGTGTTACACCAGCAGCTGCTTCGTGCATCTCAGGTCCTGTGGGCCAGGCTCCGTGTCTCTTGAGTGTGTCTGGAGGCCACGTGGAGTGATGGACACGCACCATGTAGGTTTCTGTAAGTAGAGTCCATGCCGTTCACACAATAAGGAAACTGCCAAATGACACATTTCCAGGATTATATTCTGTCCTTTGTATTTGGAGGTAGGGGCTTTGGAGGTATTAGGTCTTGAAGGTGGCCATGGATGGGACTAGTTCCCTTGTCACTGCCTATGAGAAAGTGGTCTGCTAGCCCTTACTCTTGGACTTCTAACCTCCAGAACCATGATATAGAAATGCCTCAGTCTCCAAAGTGCTTAGATTATAGGAGTGTGATAGATATGTCTGCTGTTTATAAGCTACTCTGAAATTTCATTATAGCGGGACTGATGGAGTAAAACAGCTCCCACACCCACTGCACTATACTGTCTCTCCATTACACTGTGTCCTTCAGGATCAAACATTTTCATCCAAAGAAATTTTCAGAACTGGGAAGGGGAGATGGGACTGGGGACACAAAGAAATTCAATAAGGGACACCAAAAGCACAAAGCAGAGAAATTACTCCCGATTCTCGTTAAATCCATTAGGGAAACCATTGGACAAAACAACCTTTGTTGTATTTCAAACTGACTAGAACAGTACAAAATTCCCAGCACATGCAATAATTAATAGTTGAAGAGCTGGAAATGCTTATTACCCTGATTAGATTAATACACATTATAAACATGTATTGAAGGTACCCTATATTTTCTAAACTAAAAAGTAATAATACAATTTTTTTACAATTTTTAAAGAAAGTCTTATGTTGCAAGGTACAAAACCAAGCTTATCTTGGAAAGGATTTGTCTCCTTTTCTCAAAATGTTGAAATTTGGAAAATTTCAAAATGGAATTTTGCCCACAGATGTGTATGTGACACCTACCTACAACACCAACTCCCCTCTCTCCAAGGAGAGAGACTTCAAACCAAAGCAATGGGGACACTTATCTTGAATTGGAACCTGTAGAACATGAGTCAAAACAAATGTTTTATTTTTATAAGTTGTCTCAGGTATTTTGCTATAGTGACATCAGCAAATAGGCAGTGTAACAGTCAATTTTAGGTGTTAATTTCACTGAGTTAAGGGATACTCAAATAGTTGGCAAAACATTATTTCTGGGGTGTGTCTGTGAGGATGTTTCCAGAAGTAATTAGCATTTGACTGGATTGGTTGAGAAAAGAAGGTTCCCAGCAGACATCATTCAATCCACTGAGAGCCAGAATAGAACAAAAAGGTAGAGGAAATGCAAATTCACTCTCTTCTGGAGGTGGGACATCTATCTTCTCTCATCCTCAGATTTTGGAACTCCGTGTCTCATGTCTTTGTACTTGGGGATTTAACACCAGGATTCCCCTCACTCCCTGTTAGGTTCTTGGGCCTTGTTCTTCAGACTGAGAATTACACTACCAGTTTCCCTAGCTCTCTAGCATAGACTGTATGCTGTGGGATGTCTGGCCTCCATAATTAGTTGCATCAATTCCCATAATAATTCTCCTCACTTATGTCTATATCTTATTTGTTCCATTTCTCTGAAGAACCCTGAGTAGTGCAGTGTGCTAGTCAACTTTTCACTGCTGTAACAAAATTACTGGAAGAAACTACTTAAAGGAGAAAAAGTTTAGTTTGGTTCATGGTTTCAGAAGTTTTAGTTCATAATTGGATGGCTCTATGGCTTCTAGGCCTGTGGGGAGACAGAAACATCACAGTGGAAACACATGGTGGAGGGAACGATGTGGCATGCTTCCCTCATGGAAGCCAGGAAACAGAGATAAAGGAAAAGAGCCAGCGAGGAAGAAGCCAGGGACAATAAAGTTTATGTCCACCATGATACTTCAACAAGGATCCATCTCCTGTTTCCATTTCCTCCTAATAATGCATCAAATTATGATCTTATCAGTGGTTTAATCCACTGGTAATATTCAAGTTCTCATGATCCAGTTACTTTCCAAAGCCCACGTCTGAACACTTGAGCTTTATGGGGGACATTCCTGATCCAAACCATAGCATGCAGTTAGTTAAGAAGCTAGAACTCATCTCACTTCACTCTAAAGTTCACATTGCTCATGGCTCTTGTGGTTACCATTAACTTATAAAAAGACTTTTCCTATGTTTACTTGGCTCAAACTCACTCTGCAGAACCTGTTTCTTTTCCTACCTTTATTAAAACTTGGTACTGTTTGTGCTTGTCTTGACCAATTATTTGCTCAGGACAGAAAAAATTTAGAAACCACCTCCAGAAGGAGACTCCAGGACCCCAAATCTGGTAACATACTTGGCTTGGTCAGCCAGGAGAATAGGTAAAGCCCTTGGGCACATTATTTTTCTTTCATTCTAAAATGTCACAAAGACTTCTCCTCCTCCTCCTCCTTCTCTTCCTTCTCCTCCTCCTCCTCTTCCTCTTCCTCCTCTTCCTCTTCCTCTTCCTCCTCCTCCTCTTCCTCTTCCTCCTCCTCCTCCTCCATCTTCTTCCTCTTCTTTCCCTGTGTCTTTTCCCTCAGCTGATGAACTCAAGAGACTTCTGACAAAGTGGAAATATTTCCTATGTTTCCCAGCATGTAGGATGGGAGGAGAATACATGGCTTCTTTGTTTTTCTTCCAGCCATGGAGGTCTACAGGCCCACTTGAAATTTATCTCCCCTATTCTTCGTTTTCTTGTTTTTAGTCACTCACTGAAGATATTTTGTCAGTAAAAAGCAACCAGAGAGACTGTTATTAAACCACTGGCAAGTAGATTCAGGTACCATGTGTTCAACCTAGAGTTTAATATGTTTTTTGACCTGTTTCTGTGCTCTGTGGTACTTTGCTCAGCTCTCTCACTCTTTTAGGGAAAAAGAGCTGTTGGTAACTTGGTATTTTGCCTAGATAGCTGCCTCCCCAATTTTTTTTTTTTTTTTTTTGGTTTTGGTTTTTCTCCGGTACCGAGAACTGAACTGACGATCTTGCGCTTGCCAGGCAGGCGCTTTTGCCGCTGAGCTAAATCCCCAGCCCCTGCCTACCCAGTTTAATTCCTTTTGAGCTCAAAGTTTCATCTGCACTTTTCCCCTAGACGGCCATTTCTTTTTCAGTGTGTTACCTTAGTTAAAAACTGCCATCTTGTCTTGTCACATGACTGGCTGCCCATTTTGGATCCACATGGGCTCCACCATGTTTGTTTCCCTTGTTTTTTCTTCTAACAAATTGCAGGAAATTTAGAAACACATGCCTGGGCCGGAAATTTAGCTCAGTGGTACAACATCTGCCTGGCAAGCATGAGGTCCATGAGCTTGAGTCTCAGACCTCAAAATAAAATAAAATAAAATAAAATAAAATAAAATAAAATAAAATAAAATAAAATAAAACAAAACACATGACGGATGGCCTGAGAAGAATAGCCAGTAAAGCTTAACTCAAGTGACTGTAAGCCAAAGGTAGATCCATCCTCATTCTTAGGATTTCTGAAGATTTTTTTTTCTTGAAAAAAGAACTTTCTGTCTCTACAGCCTTAAAGTACCAAGGTTTATACTGTGGGGTAAAGTAAGAGGTACTGTTTCTCAAGAGGCTCCACCCTGCTTAAGTAGAGCTATCAAGTGCCTCAACTCAGGCTAAGGGAAGGGAGGAGGGGGAATATTCCACCCTGATCTTATGAAAGTTTCAAAGGACTAGGTAGAGCCATCAAGAAGCTCAACGCCCTCTCCCTAAGGAGTTAGTGGGCCCCAGTATGCAGACAAAAAAACCTTTAATAGGGCTTTCTTCTATGCTTCTGTGAAAGATTCTAGCATCATTGTCACTTTAGAGATGTCTGTCTAGTGAATTCTTGAGTCTCATAAAGGATGCTTTGTGGGCTCTTTGGGTCTATACCTTCTGCATGGGATGTCATCTTAAAGATCCAGTTGTCTCTCTCTATAAGCTCCAAGACTAGGCATGGGAAACCTCATGAACCACGCCTCACAGAGTCCACTGACTTCACTCCTTGATCAGTGGGAAAGGATTGACCCTCCAGTTTTAAAAAGGAACAGCTTATCTACTGTTGCAACATAGTTTGGGTTTAAAATGAACTAGGAAATGGTGAGAGATGGGTATAGGATGGCAGTTAAATTCAGTTAAACTGTTCCTGCTTAAAACATAGCTGGAGTGAAATCCCTCATGTTCAGCTGTTTATAACCCTTTATCTCAAGAAAAGCCCAGAAACTGTTGTATTTACAGTGGCCCCTGAAGAAGAAGGAGATATCTTTGATATTTCTGTTCTTAGATCCCCACCTGTCTCTCAGAGGGTATGGCTCTCTCCCATCTGTTTAAAGAAGAAACTTCAGATAGGAGCCCAGACACCTATGACCCAATTACTGGACATGGTCTTTTCTGTGTTCAACAATTGGGATTTGGAAGAAGGTCAACAGAAAAAGCTAAATTATAGCTGTTACAATTAGCAATGTTTTACACTCACCCAAATCATCTCAGGGAAAACCCAAGGATGATTGAGTGCAAGAAGTCGAGGCCATGTGGAATGTGACTACACCAAGCCACTGCCTAGTCCCCACTCCAAGTGTCTGAGGCAGCCAGTGTCCCTTTTTTTTTTTTTGTCTTTTTGAGACAGGGTCTCACTATGCAGCTCAGGCTGGTCTTGGGCTCACTTTATAACCCAGGCTGACCTCAAACTCGCAAGATCCTCCTGCTTCAGCCTCCCAAGTGCTGGGATTACAGGCATGTGCCATCACGTCCGGCCAGCCAGTGTCTCCGACTCATGGCAGTAAAGGGTTAACTGCTCCTGCTCCCAGAGAGGGGCTAGGCCAGCCAGAGTACTCATTTCCTGCTCTAAAGAGGCCCAAGGGAACCTACAACGCTCCTGTCCATGGATATTACCATCTCCTACGAGGAGCCCTGGGTAACACTGGACACAATGGATGAACCAATTTGATTACTTTATTCTGTTTTTATTTACTTCTCTGGAAAACCCTCTTCTAGATCTATAGTCATAGTTGGTGTCTAGGGGCCCCCTAATTGGAGACTGTTTACTCTGGCTGTGATGTATCACTTTGAAGGACAATTTTCTTAAGGACAAATGTTTAACCATGAGTTTCTAATTTTCCCACAATGTCCTACTCCTTTGCTAGAAAGAGATTTACTAGCAAGATTGGTGGCAATTCTCAAACTCTGGCTAAAAGGATTTTGCCTGTTGGGACTACACTAAGTCTCCCTGACCAAATTAGCCAACAGGCAGATCCTGCTGTGTGGTATAATGGAATACTCGACTTAAGAAAGCCCTTCTTCCTCATCATGTTAGAAAAGAAAGGACTACTTTGAGAATCTTGACCCAAATGCTAAGAACTATGGCACGTGGCATACTTTTCAAAAAGTCAGATGAAATGGCTGCTGGATGGCCACCCTACCTGAGAGCAGTAGCAGCTACAGTTATTCTAACAGGGAAAGCTGCAAAACTAACTTTAGGACAGAAACTAGAAGTCCTGTCTCCCCATCTGGTCAGAGTGATGCTTGAGACCGAAGATTATTTGTGGTTAACAGGGGAATGGCTTGCAAAGTATCATCTCCTGCTCTTAGACAGCCCTGGGGTTATTATAAAAACTTGCACTACTCTCAGTCTTGCCTCTCTGATGCCTATAGGCCAGAAGTTAGCCACTTTTGTGAACAGGTGATCTCCCAGACCAACACAAACAGGCAGAACATCAGTGACCTGCCCTTCCAAGACCTTGAAGGAGCTTTGTCCAAGAAGGACATTAAAGGGGCTGGGGATTTAGCTCAGCGGCAAAGCGCCTGCCTGGCAAGTGCAAGGTCGTGAGTTCGGTTCCCGGTACCGGAGAAAAACCAAAAAAAAAACCAAAAAAAAAAACCTCAGAAAAGAGGAAGTGGAAGGACTTCCCACAATGTCAGGTACACATAACTCTGATACCAAAGC